CCCGAAGGGGAGAGTACCCTCGACTGGCCCAAGCTGGGGCCAGGACTACGGTAGTCAAAAGGGCCGGGGGCCCACCGCAAGGGACGCCCAAGAGCCGGGGGCCTGGGGTCCTGACTGGCCTGGAGGTGGGCCAGGGCAAGTGACCGAAGGTCCCGGGGGGGACCCACACCCGAGAGGGGAACATGGCTTCGGGAGGGCTAGGTAGCCCGGATGATGGCGGAGTGGCCGCCTGAGAGGATCATAGAGGGGTCCTGTACGGATCATTCAGGGGCCCAGTGTGAGGCCGGTGATGATGTGAACACCATGATGCCATCTGCGAGGCTTGGGCTGCGGTATTAGGGGAGGTCGGAGCTGCAGAGCGCCCCCTGGCATCGGGGCATTACAATGGGCAGCCTCCCCCTTAATTGACATCTTAATTGAACTAATAATCATCAAAGGCGTGGTGGGGGAGACAGGTGGGCGGTTGCCCAGAGACAGGTGGGCGGGCCGTGGAGATCCACCCCGAGGTGGCCCCCTGTCACAAATAGTTAATATAGTTAAACGCAATGACCTAACTTGCACAGCACAGTCTTCAGTTGAGATGGAAGGTTGTTTTCTATAACTTTGTTTCTTCAAATCTCTGTAACTCGTCAATTCATTGAGCTTGACCATATTTTGTATTTATTCAGGAATTATTGCAGGGTAATAAAAGGCGAAATTTTACTGATGATGTGTAATCAGTTCATTTGGTGGCCAGTTGATCAAATTATGGAGAGAAGCAGTTAAGCCATCACTTTGCTCTTAGCTATTTGCGTTAGTTTTATATCCAGCTGCTTTGCTTCAACTAGTGCCCTGTTCTGCTATGCCTGATTCAGTAAATCACAGTTAATAAACAGCAATTAGTTAATGTGAAGACATACCAACAAAAAAAAAGACCTCAAAAAAGAAAACCAAATTGAAATAGTGTGTATTAGGCTATGGTTTTTCCATGAAAATGAGCTCTGCACTCAGTTTCTTATTGTATAATTCCACTTAGGTGCCCTTGCTAAAAGTACTCTGTTTACAGTTTCTGCTATGTAGACTGTCCCCATGGAGATTGTATGCTGTGTGTTGTCTTGGTTTTTGCAGTTAATAAGATCCTAGATGTTCATTGAGGCTTCTCTGAGACATATTGTAAAAAGGGGTCACTAAAATGGGTGCTTTGCTAGATTAACAAGTATAAAAATAGCAACAGACGAATTTTATTTTGGAGGGGGGCACAGAATTATGGTACCATAAACTTTAACACCCAACATTCAAAGAAATATTTTTGCTTGGTGAGGAAGTTCTGTTCTGGTCCTATTTACATTCCGTTTTTCATGGCATTTGTTAAAGAAGGCTGTTGTACATGGTTTATTGACTGAGGTATAAAAGTGCTGAGTCTACAGTTTTGTGTGTGTGTGTGTGTGTGTGTGTTTTTTTTTTTTTTTTTTAAAGCTCTTTGGGCCTGATTGTATCCAATTCAATTTGTTCCTTTCCTATAGTTTGGTCTCCTTTTCTATTTACTGCTTTACCCCTGTCTTTATAAATATCTTTTTGTTCTCTCTTTATATGTCTGCATCATAAAATCACAGTCAGAAGTACAGGCATTATCACTATAAAATAAACCGTGTCTACCTTATAGTCGGTATCATCTGCTGTGATGTTGCATTCTATGTATTATCAGTTTTCCCGTAAGAGGAAAATTAGAGCATGTATTTTCCACATGAAGAAATCAAATGTAATCTAAATGCAAACCACAGGTTTTATTGCACAGTAATATTTGATAGCACTGCTATTACTAATCCTAGTATGACAAGAAACACAGTATAGTTATGAAGTTCAGAACAATGTCAGGGCCCTTTATGCTTTTTTTTGGTTGGAACAACCACAAAGTCAAAAACCAGTTAGTGAAAGATAATTTGCCAATCTGTTCTGAGACCTACAGACTATTATAGTTTGCACAAACTTATTTAGAGCCAATATAAGTAAATATATGTTTTTCATAATTTCAGTGAAGATGGTGCTGAATAGTACAATTAACATGGGAAAATTGGCTACAAAGAGTGAATGTCTGAGTGTTGATGTATTTGTCTTTGAAACATGCTTCTTTTGGGCTTCTGACTTTTTTTTTTGTTTGTATTTGGGGTTTTAACTTTCACAGACAATGAAACAACAAGGCAAAATGATTGCATTACAATAGACAGCATGCATGTCCCAGAAGGAAACTGCTCTTGGTCTCATAGATAATACCAAGCAATTAAGATGACAGTGGATGAACTTTTTCAGTGTGCTGCTAAACATGTTAGTGATATAACAATGAGTTTTCAGTGTAGTCCAGTAAAATGATACAGAGATGCCTTTATAATATGGTGAGAAGTTAGGAATATTGGGTAATACTACCAATTGGGCGCACACATGCACACACAGATAATCTCATAGACATTAGGGCTGGAAGGGACCTCAGAAGATTGAGTCCAGCCCCCTGCCCAAAGGGCAAGAAGTTAGCTGGGGTCATAGGATCCCAGCAAGATAAGCATCCAGTTTGCTCTTGAAGGTGTTCAATGTAGGCGCTTGAACCGCCTCCGGTGGCAGGCTGTTCCAGACCTTGGGGGCTCAGACAGTAAAGAAATTCTTCCTTATGTCCAGCCTGAAACGGTCTTGTAGTAGTTTATGACCGTTCGACCTAGTCATCATCCCTTGGGGCACTCTGGTGAACAAACATTCCCCCAGATACTGGTGGTCACCCCTGAAACTTATAGGTGGCCATCAGATCACCCCTGAGCCTGTGCTTTTCCAGGCTAAAGAGCCCCAGGGCTCTCAGCCTGTCTCATCCGCCCACTTGCTGAGCCTGTCCAGGTCAGCCTGGATCACC